AAGTGTCAACAACACTGTTGATAGGAAATCTAAGAAAAAAATATACATGAAAGGTAAATGAATATAACAGAGCCACTTGAACACCTTTAAGGATAATATATCTTGTATTACACTTACAATCAAACAAACCCAGTATTTAATTCATGAGAAGATCCCAACACCACTGCAACATTAGATAAAGACTGAATGGTTTCCCATCCCATTTTGTTTATCACCTTTTTTTTCCCATTCAGAGCAATAAGTAATGAGGTTCTAAAGGAATATTTCCAAATGAAATGGTTGAAATCATATTCATGTGTTAAGATTGTCCACATGATCAAGTCCGTCCTTATTTCTTCATCTGCCGAGACACAGATTTTTATAAATGTCATATGTTATTCTGAGCTGGTTCTGGCTCTTCTTCTCCTGGTGGGACCTGAGTCAGGTGTGTTGTGTTGCGTTGTGTTGCGTTGTGTCCGTTGGTCTGCAGAGGGCATCGTCCACCGCAGCAGCTCCGACATTTCATCCAGCTGCTTGTGACCAGAGGTGGCACCGAAGCTGTCAACACAGTGTCTGCAGCTGGGTTAAGACGTCACGGTGGGAGGGCGTGATGTTGTGTAATGTTGTGTGCACACCATGCTCTGCTACCAGATCATTTTACTGTTAAATTTCAGTGGCAGATGTTGTCCTTTCTACTCCACTACATGTGTCTGTTACTTAGTACATACGGATTTCGCCCAAAATATAAGCTGATGTCTTAAAATGTGAAGTGCTACAGATTAAAACTATATAAAATATATATATAAAATATATGAGGACTTTCACATTTTGCTGATACTTCCTCTGCACTTGTACGTTTTAAATGCAGGGCTGTCACCTGTGACAGTGACGCTCTTCTTTAATACACAGAGGGGTTTTTGTGCATCACATACAATTTGACACACTTTTTCATTAGTTAAAATTACAATTTTTTTCCTGTTTAAACAAATGGCGCAGTAACAGTTACACTGTCAAACAATAACTTATCACTGTGAAAAGAAGCCGTCTTCTTTTGGTACTTGGGATACTGTAATTTGTACTTTAACTTTAGTCAGGTTAAATAGCAGGGCTTTTACTGGAGTGTTATTGCATGATGGTGTCGTTGATGTTTGTATCACCGTAAAGGATTTGAATATTTCCTCCTCACTGATCATGGACACCGTGACTCATTCGATCCCTCAAAGATGAGCAAACACTGCACTTCTGTAAATGGGGCCTCCTCCTTTGGCTGTTAGAGAGCTTTTAGTGATGAACCTAGTTCAGATGACTCTGCCAAACCACAGTGTCTACGTGCTTGTCCATTCCTCTCTTTTTTTAAATCTCTGATGAAGTCACATGAAGTTGGCTGACGCTTCCTCGTGTGTTTGTAGCTCATTGTGAATTTTTACGAGGCAGTTCATCAAGTCTGTAAACAGGAGAGCTTGGTATTCACTGACTCATCTCTCAGGCTGCTCTGATCAGTCTGTCTGAGACTGATAGTCACATCTCAGTGTGAAAAATAAAACACTGAACAATAAATAAACAGAGTGCATGTCGTAAAATAGATAAATAAGCAGAACATCGATTAGTCAGTTGCACAGGCAGGTGATTTCTGGGACCAAAATTACAAAGCTGGAGAGCTTCATTCTGCTCTGCCCCTCTAGTTCCCAAAACCAAGCTGTCAAAATAAAAGCAGCTCCCTGGAAAAGGAGGAAAAAAATGTATTTAATTAGTATTTATCCAGATTTTTCCAATATCAGACTTCAATATAAATGATTCATAATTCTCATTGAAATTATATCGGTTTTCACTCACAGACATGTTTTAATAAGCTGGGGCAGATATTTTGTCCTTATTGTCCTGAAACTTATCAACATCAACAGCTGTTTCCAGTAGTGTTTTTTTTTTATGTCAAATTTAATTTGGATGTGCTGCACATCAGCCTCTCTGGAGGGGACATTACGTCACCTCCAACACACCTCCTTCTCACCCCCCCCCCCCCCCCCCCCCCCCTTTTTTTTACCTATGGGTTTTAAAATCCGCCTTTGTTGAGCTCTGATTGGCTGAGACACCAGGCCACTCATGACCAGATGATGGTGACTGGTAAATTTCTCACTGACATACCTGTCAGTCTTCTGATGTGAATAGCGGGTGATTCAATCATGAGGAAGAAATATGTCAAAATGTTTATTTTAATTTGTTTGCATAGAATAATTTCATCCCAACAACAGGCCCAGTAAATCTCCAAAATGCCTGATGTTAATACAAACTTTTAACAAAAGACTAATTGACGGTCATCATAAAGTTCTCTGCAGCTGACTGCGACATTTTGAAAGTTCCTCACGCATGCTTCCATGATTGTCGCCTTACAATAAGATAATTACCTGTTAACCTTATGGTACTAATGCATTGCAGTTCTCCTACCCAGACGCCAGAGGGAGCAGTTGTTTCGTCATCTTTCATTAAGTTTCATTTACCTCACAGTAAGAATCAACAGAGAAATGAACTGCGCTGATGATTTGCGCTGATTCCGTGTTAATAGGCAGATAAAAACACCAGTAACGTGCAGTTAGAGGAGAGTGTGGGGGGTGTGAGGGGTTTATACGGTGAAAGCCGGGGAAAGCTTGTTTCTTTAAGACCCAGCATCCTTCAGAGAAGACGGAGAGATGAGGGAGGATTGACGATTGGAGGTCGTCAAGTTACACAGAGGATCGAGGTAGAGGAGCGGATGCACAATTTTTCGTTTTCAGAATAAGGTTTCAACTTGTGCAAATAGTGAGTTATTTAAAGAAGTAATGCGTTAGTCCTAACTCATTATTCAACAGAAATGGGTCTACTACACCAGAGGACATCTGTGTAATAGACCATTTAGACCTTTCCTTAAGTAAAATTAGCAAAAGTAAAAGTAGAAAAGTATTACCAACAAAAGATATTTAAAGTATCAAAAATAAAAACACGCTACCGTATCATATACTGTATTATCTGACTATTCCATTATTATTGATGCTGTAGCAGGTCAAGGTGGAGCGACTATACCACTTAACAACTATCCTTTATAGACATTATTCTTTAGTAGTTTAACCTGTAACAACATGTTGTTTTGGAACCTAACATGTTTTCTACATAAGATTTGTTAGACAAATGTAGTGGAGTAAAATTGACAATATTTCCTTCTGATGTATAACGGAGTAGAAATATAAAGTAGCTAAAAATGGAAATACTAAAGTAAAGTATAAGAACATGAAAACAGCACAATACTTGTGTACCCAGTCTTCAACCATCCTCATTGCCTCTCTTTGGTGAGAACTGTTCCAGACGTTGCGTGTTATATTCTGAAAACCCTGACCGGATGTCGTGTGTGCTTCCTGCGCGCACCTTGACGCAGCGGTGAGCCGAAGCGTCGCTCCCTCAGCAGAGAGAGGGAGGGGATGGGGCAGGCTGGTAACCGGGCTGTAACGGGGATAACCTGCAGCCTCCGTCTCTCGGATGCTCTGATGGAGTGAACCGGGCCACGATGCGCGTTTATTTCCTTTCTCTGTCGGTCATGGAAAGGGTAAGACACACAAAACGCTCGGCGGCGGCTAAAATCCACGGTGATGTGCGGCTCACAGACCTACCAGTCCAGCTGTTTTTATGGGTGGGGGGGGGGGGGGGGGGGGGGGGGGGGGGGGGGGGTAGGGTGGTGTGTGTGTGTGTGTGTGTGTGTGTGTGTGTGTGTGTGTGTGTGTGTGTGTGTGTGTGTTTGTGGGGAGGGTGGTAATGGGGTGTTGATAGGAAATAGACGCCTTGCGGTCGGAATAAAGCCAAAGCCGCGCACCGTTCTCTCAAATTGAGGTTAATCACATCACAAAAAATAATCCAATTGCGAAATATCTTGTGATTTAATCTGTTAATTAGGCCTACATCATTTACAGGATGATTGGCACCTCCCACCATGATGTGATAGCGGTGTGAGGCTATCTGTGCAGCCTCAGATACATTTTCAAAAAATGGCTGTTTTTCCCCATTTTAGGCCATTTATTTTGTTAAGACAGCAATTCATTTCCCGTCTGAGGATAATAAGCCTCCTGATTCACCAGACTATTTTTACAGATGGGTTCCGGCGCCGTAGAAAAGAATCCCATTTCCTCCTGGTTACAGCCCGTAATTACAATTCATGATGACACCCTTTTTTAAAAAAACAAAAAAAAACATGAATGTATGAAACAGCGCCTCAGCTTTCTGCCACCTAAAGGCCTGATAATTGTTCTGTATTCATGTTTTGGAGGCTGCCAAGGTAAAAGCTGCCATCCACGGCTCATTTCCGTACATCATGCGCATTCATTATTACCATTATGGCTATGGACGCTCGGGTACATAAAGCCGAGACATGCACTGATGGATGAATTACTCCAGACGTTGAGTATCGCGATGCCAGTCTGTGTGAGAGACGGTACTGCTGCAACAGCAATGGTTGTTCTGTCTCTGAGGTTTAGGGGGAAAAAACGCCTCAGAAAGGTGCATGTACTGTGTGTGTGTGTGTGTGTGTGTGTGTGTGTGTGTGTGCGTGCGTGTGCGTGTGTGTGGTGGCCTGGTGGGAAATATATGTGTTATTATTTGTTATTATTAATTAATAATGATGTGTTCTGGGAATGTGTGGCCTTCATCATCATCATCATTACCATCATCATCACCACCCTCCTCCTCCTCCTCCTCTTCCTCCTCCAGCTGCTCTCATCATCACATCTTGGCCTAAACATGACCTTTTCTTCTTCCTCTCTTTCCAGGTTCGTCTCTCGTCTCATTGAAGCCTGGGCCAGGGGTGGGGGGGTCAGAGGTCGCCCACCCAACCTGCACTTCTCCCTCTTGCCCCTGCACCCCACCCCACCCACACTCCCCATCCACCAAACCCTCAGCCCCTGTCACCCTTCACTGTCCCCCCCCCCCAAATCACTTTAATCTCACATCCCTTTTGCTCACAAATTCACACCCCTGCCCGGCTCCATCATCCCTCAGCACCTGTTTCCTGCCCGCCAGCCTCAGCCAATCAGCAGTTAGCAGAAAAGTAACTGTTGAGCATTTCATGACGAGAGCAGATCAGTCCTTCTCCGGACACTAGTCGTCTTCTCAGATAACACCTCTCGCATCCAGGCCTCAAGATGATGTGCGAGGTGATGCCCACCATCTCAGAGGACGGGCGCGGCGGGGGAGGAGGCGGCTCGTCTTCGCCCGCTGGGGGCGGAGGAGGGATGGGCGGAGGGATGGGAGGCATGGGGGGCTACAGCAGCCGGGATCCCCGCGGTGGTGGTGGTGGTGGAGGCAGCGGAGGAGGCGGCGGCGGAAGCGATGAAGGAGGAAGCACGGGCAACCTGGAGTCGCTGATGGTGAACATGCTGACGGAGAGGGAGAGGCTGCTGGAGAGCCTGAGGGAGACCCAGGAGAGTCTGGGGACGGCACACCTGCGACTGCGAGAGCTGGGCCACGAGAAGGAGTCGCTCCAGAGGCAGCTGTCCATCGCCCTGCCACAGGTACGAAGACTGGTGGGGGAGGGTGGGAGCTGGTGACACACCTGAGAGCAAACACTGTCACACACTGATCTAAATGTTTGTAGAGACAAGAATCCAGCACCTGTCTCTGCATCCCACATTTTAGTTTGTAATCTGCATGTTAGACTAAAGGAACATTTCACCTCTGAAAGAAAAGACTCACAGTCACAGGCTGAAGGCTGGAAATGTCACATTAGATTCCTCCAGACAGAATCTCACAACATGTAGCCAAATGAAATGTATTGAGTGCAATATTTACATGATTATCTCTTATATGCTTGTTGCTCACAGTGCTGTGGATTCACATGCACATCATAAAGCAGCACTACCACTGAGGAAAATATAGGAGAGCATTTTGGACCCAGAGCATTTACATCTTTAACAAAGAGTCTTAAGAACATTGCTTTGTATTTAAAGCTTTAATTAGAGAAGGAAAATGATGATTACCTATCAATAGTTTGAGGGGAGGTTGAGATGAAGCAGATGAAAGTACTGGTATGAATTTTCTGTATGTTTTGTGGTTTTATAGATCGACTTCACTAAGATTTAGATTTTATGATCGACACATGATTGTAGTTAAAGGGAAGTGTCTCTTTTATATGTGGTACTAGATTAAATTACAGTTGGAGACTGTACAGAAGTAACTCAAAGTCTTGAATCTCTTTGGTGCAGAGTCAGAAAAACACAGGAAAAATGCTGTTTTTACTGTCTAGATTCACATGCCAGCGTTACATCATAGTGACTGTGAGTGAGCCAGGTTCAGTAATTACCAATCAGACAATAACAGGTTATGCACAGGTTTAAATAAGTATATCATTAAGTACCAGAATAGCAGCTTAGCTCGTTCATAATTCAGCCTTGTGAACAGTGAGTGAGCAGAAACACCAGCACCATGATGAACAGCTACACCGCTGCGAGTCGACGTCCCACATTGAAGATCTGTCTTCAGTACAAGTAAACAAGTGTTATGAGAGGAATGTGCTCTTGTACCAAAAGTACTCATAGTGAAAATGGTTCCTATCACAGTGTTGAATTATTGATGTGTGAACCTGTAAGCAGGATTTTTAATGTTGTTGCTGGTCCAGGTGGCGCTGAGTCTGACTTCCTTATTGTACTGTTGGGGGAGTTTAAAGTGCAGCAACACAGATGGAAACGTCCGCGTGTCCAGTTTTGTCAGGAGAAAACGGCCCGGCCTTTTTATTCTGTTTAGATAATATTGAAAAAAGTAATGTGGTGATGCTAAGATGAGGCTGCAATGTACAAAACGTGGCTAAAGTAGAAGATTTTAACTGACAATGGTGATTTTTTATGTTAATTAAACTTAAGATCTTATTCTGAAAAATAACTAGTAACATCCATTGTCTGCAAAAATAGAAAGACTTCAACTAAACTTTTTAATTTCTTAGTTTCTTCACAGCTCCATTATATAAATATATCTTTGTCAGGCAATGGTGCTGATTCTGGATCTTTCAGTAAAGCCTCTCATGTTTTACTGTTAGAGCCAAAACTATTAGTCAATGAATCGATTGACAAAAAAATTTGATTAACTCGTTTGTGCCAAACACATTCTGGTTAATGTAGTTCCAGCTTCTGAAAAGTGAGAATTTACTAAACTATACATATTTGAGTTTTGGTCTTTTATTTTGAAAACACAGGCAATTTGAAAACTGTCGCCTTTTGTTTCCAGGATATTATAATTATAATTTTACTGTTTATCCCTAGTGAAAGATTCATCCATTAATTTAGAAAGTAATAGGCAGATTAACTGGTAAAAAGACTAAATATTAGTAGCAACTTTAATGACTATAATTACTATTATATCTGAGTCACAGAGTTAAGCATCCAACTTTCCTAAAAATATCTATTCTGAATGTATTTCCAAAATCCTGTCCAGGTCGCAGGAAATGACTTTTGTCCTTGCAAGTTTTTGTAAAACACAACCAAAACTATCCCACATGAATTTGTTTGAAAATATATATTACTGGAAAGTAACATCAATTTATACTAATGTATCTGATAATCCAATTTATAATTTTGCCTCACATTGTACAAATTGACAAAGGAGATATGTCCTTCCAGGCTACCGTATTTGTTTGGATTATTTGAAAAAGAGTCACAATTTGAGAAACAAGTTAAAAAAAAAAAAGTATTTTGCTTCAGACAGAAGATTTTTTCATCCCGATGGTTCAAATCAGACGCTCAGCTTTGTGACTCAGATGTTAAGAAGGTAAACACATGAGAGATGATGGCAAAATGTTACCTTTGCCCCTGAAGCTCCGACGCCAATGTTATCCCACATCCCATTGGCCGAGAGCTAATCATTTTGTAATTCCACTCAACATACAAGGACTCCATCTCTATTTTCAGGCATTGTCGGACGCCTCGGGCAGCGATGATGCCTCCCTCATTGTTAGTACCTATCTTTCTCTGTCGCCGCGGCTGAAATATCAAAATGAAATAACAGACGTGAGCAGTGCTGCGCATTCTTACACATGGCAACTGGACATTAAAGGGCCATATTACCTCAGTGAGAGGGGATCAATATGGCGCACACATCTGCAGAAACACACACACACAGATAGAGGAACACATGGAGCCCTGTGATACATTCTACAGTAGATGGGTTCACTGAGTTCGTCTGTGTGAGTAGACGTTGCCAAGAGAGAAAAATAGGAGAGAGGGATGGAGAGAGCGACAGCATGGCACAAAGAGAGAGAGAGAGAGAGAGTGGGAAAAAAACCTGGTGATATGAAACATACAGAGACTTACAAATCATGAACATTTGCATATTGCTGCATACTAATTAGGTGGCTTCCTGAGTCTGTTTTAGATGTTGTGTGTCATGACAAGGGGGGAGATTGAAATGGGTGAAGTGGGAGAGTGGCAGGATCGAGATGGGAGAGAGTGGAAGATGAAAAAGCGCAAGAGGTGAATGCCAGCGCAGTCGGGGAGCTGAATGATTTGCATCGTGTATCTGACCAAAAATGATGGCGACAGAAAAGAGACAGAGAGAGCGAGAGAGAGAGAGAGAGAGGGGAGTCCAGGAAGTGTCTGATATCGGCCGTCCATCTCGCACCATCTTTTACATGAATTAATACCAGAATTATGATATCCTCTGGGCCCAGAACACGCCATCTGTACACGGCTATTCCCTCCCTCACCCCTTCCCCTTCTATCTTTTCAAATAAGCTTCCTCCTTCCTCGTCCTCCTCCCGTCCTTCCCCTCCTTTTTCAGCCCAACTGAGTACATCAGCTCAGGAGCTTGTTGCAGACCATACATGCCGTACTTTTTCTTTTAAATGCATCGGAGGATGGTGTGAGGTGAGGTTTGCCTGTTTGCTGCCGCGTGTGTTGGGTAAACTGGTCACTGTTAACACAGAGCAAAGATAACAGCAGCACCATGCATGCATCAGTGCCTAATGGCTCGTTTGCATACGCGCTTCTTTTTTTTTTGTTTCTTGAAAAACACACACATTATTCAGAGCACACGAGTCCGGGGACGGCCGTGTGCTCTGTGTCATGTGTGTGTCACGCCACAATCACACACGAGAGAATGGGAGGTCTAAAGAAACATTGATGGATGGATGGATGGATGGATGGATGGATGGATGGATGGATGGATAGATAGATAGATAGATAGATAGATAGATAGATAGATAGATAGATAGATAGATAGATAGATAGATAGATAGATAGATAGATAGATAGAGGCTGAAAGTTAGGCTCAGTCCAAGTTGTACTTGATAATGTCACTCATCCTCTCTTTGTTGATCTGTTGCCATGGAAAACTGAGTTGCATTAAAAGCAACAGATTTTAATCATAACTATGGTGTAGCTAGTCGTACAATTATACATAATTGGAGAAAATTACACAAAATCACAACAATTCAACTGGATTGCTTTGAGTTGGAAATATAAGACATTACACCGCGCTGGCCTAATTCCCGTTACTCTCATGCTTGTTTAACCTCCAGGCATTTGTTTTAATGGCAGGCAAACGCACAGCCAGTCGTGGTTATTACGCAATTAAACCAATTTCAGGTGCAACACGTGCAGTAAACCCGGTTGTTAGATTTTATATTGAGGCCCGGTTTAAGAGTCCTGGTGGCCAAGGACCACGAGCGCTGCGGTAGATATGGCAAAGGTTATACTGTATGTGCAGTCAAGCTGGGTTTTCAGTGAGTCATTTCCTCTTGCAGCCGCAGCGTAGCTGCTTTTTTGTGCATGTGCGCATGTGTTTAAAGCAATGAAATTTTGTGAGAAAGTGTGTGAGTCTCGTAATGAAATCAAGATTTGTCAAATAGTTCACTGTAGTTAATTGCACTGTGCGGGTTAACTGAATATTTTGGCAGTAAAACTTGCACTTTTGAGGTCTTTTTTATGTTTCTGGTTCTGTGGAATAACTGGCACAAAGTTCCAAGAGGTAAACCCGTTTCCAGTCCACTTTCCATGGAGTTTGGTAACAAACTTTTCAGTCACCATCATATTTTTTGTTTAAGGCCCTCTGAGGTGTCATTTATCAATCACACAGGGAGAAATCCATTAAGAAAGAGGCTGAAGAAATAAAAGATGTCAATACAATAAAGACATAAGACACTGTGTTATACCCTTATTTTCCAAGCTAGCTTGTTAGGAAACCCTCTACCTGTTAAACTTAAATAACGCTTCTGTCTGATGGTTTCCTGAAGACTTTCCCACTTATTGTTAGTTTTTGTGTTTTCTGGTGATTGTAGGCCAGTTACCACAGAGCTTTCATTTATCATGGCATCATTTGTTGGTTTCATTCCCTCCGAGTCAGTCAGGAAATAAAAATGTTTTACATGACACAGTGCAGCTTCAAGGCCGTGCAGCGATAAGACATGGAAACCTTCACTCCCCTGCAAGCTCCTCTGTGCCCACTTGTAAAAACCAAACAGCTAAACCAAGTTAATCCCTGCTCTCTGGAGGTGTTCTGGGACATGAAGGATATCATCAGTGAAAGTTAAATGTTTTACTGGTATTTACTGCCTTGCTGGGTTGTTACTAATCTGTCCACCTATAAAGCCAACCAGCTAAACTCTTTCTGTAAACAGTTGACGCAGGTTTAAGTAATGTGGGAAAGTACATTGCTTCATTACAAAAGAATTTTTGGTTGCACTGAACCTTATAGCTTGATGAGCGTGTGTGAGATCAGCATGGATAAACTGCACTCATGACCTCATGCAGCAGCAGCAGCAGCACTGAGTCAATAACAGCACCCTCTTGTGACCCTGCAGGAGTTTGCAGTGCTGACCAAAGAGCTGAACCTCTGCCGGGAACAGCTGCTGGAGAGAGAGGAGGAGATAGCAGAGCTGAAGGCAGAGAGGAACAACACACGAGTCAGTACACTTCTATGTCTATTCAACATTATGTTCTTGTGTTTATTTGGCTGTTAATTAAAGTTCAGGCATTTATCTATCCTAAAATACTTTAAAATGCACCACTATGTCTTCATCTGAGACATTTTATAACTACCAAAGGTACAAACGTGGGGAGGTTTTATTGTATGCGAACCACATGTGTTTTACCAGCTGCTGCTTGAACATCTGGAGTGCCTGGTGTCCCGTCACGAGCGCAGCCTGAGGATGACCGTGGTGAAGAGGCAGGCCCAATCCCCGGCCGGGGTCTCCAGCGAGGTGGAGGTCCTGAAAGCTCTCAAGTCGTTGTTCGAGCACCACAAAGCTCTCGATGAGAAGGTGCGGGAAAGACTACGGGTGGCTCTGGAGCGAGTGTCGGCCCTGGAGGAAGAGCTGCAGTCCTCCTCTCAAGAGGTGAGCCCATCTTTGCTAGGCTTACTAGTTTTTCCACAGGTTTCATTGAATCACTTCTGATGATTCTCCTCCGTGTCGTTTCAGGTTGTGTCTTTAAGGGAACAAATCAAGCGGCGGCAGCAAGGACTAGACAACGGCAAAGAGGTAATGAGATGCATTTCATTGACAGTTCTCGGAAAATGTACAGATGCTGGTGCCTCATAAAGAACCTGAAACATCCCAGTCAGCTCATGGTGGCCTGAACAAACAAATCACATTTTTCCAATCAAGCAGATATTAATTAGATATAATCTATCATCATAAAAAATCCCGTACTGTTACTGCTTTAAATGTTCGCCCCGATCCAACCTATTTCATGCGTTTATCGCTCGTGCGTTTCCTTAAAAGAGTAGCAGTGAAAATATCAACTCGCATCAGATAAGGTGAACTTCTCAACAACCCATCAAAGAGAAAAGAGTGAGGGTCAGGATGGTATAAGTAACAACACGGCCGAGAGTGGACAGGCATGCTAGCAGATCTATGAGGCTAAATGCTAACAGTTCACAACTTAATATAAAAGGATCATAATTGTTACTACAGTGTGTTCACCATCTTATATGGTCAGTTAGTTCGATGAAAAGTTCAGATTACATCCTGAAAGTGGAAATGAATGTGTGTACTGTGTTTATAGCAGTTCATCCAGTAGCTGAGTCGAGATATTTCACACAACACCATAAATGTGAACCTCACTGAGGCGCCACAGGAAAGGTCAGGGGATCTCACAGCAATCCATTTCATAGTCGTTGAGTTTGGATCAAAGTGGTGGACCGACAGACCAACTGAAAACACAGCTCTGCTCCCATGCAGGTGATTTCGATTAAGAGTTAGTGGAGCCCGTGTAAAATCCTCAGTGCTGCATAATTTCATCCTCACTCACTTAAAGTGCATCTGGTGGCCAGAGGTTTTTGCAGCTTAGGTTTATGTGCCTGCATTTGTATTGATGCAATATAACTTCCAGCCATCAGCTGGCAGCTCTGAGCACGCTTCCGACTGAGCAGCACCAGTGGATCAGTGAAGGACTTAGGCGCCATCTTGGATTTTACACAGGTTGTATTTCTTACAGAGCAAGTCGGGTGTTTGTTGCTTCACACTTGTTATTTCTCCTGATCGGCCGCAGACAAGTTCAGCTTCCCTGCAGTGAGTTCATATTTCAGTGAGTTGTTCTGTGCAATTTAATGAGAACCAAATGACTGAAATGAGTGTGTTTTCCTTGACAACATATCTACTGTGAGTCCTGGACCTGTGCAACTTCCAACTATCATTGCATTTATGTGCAGAGAACCTTGCTCTGTAAAGTTTCTTGTTGTGGCACCATCCTCCATAATTGAGATGAAAATACAGGTAAATTTGGGTGTTTAGAAAATGCAAGTAATTTCTTCCCAAATAAAGTTGAAGTAAAAAATTGTTGTTTTTGAAATCCAAATGCAATGTCAGCACATGAAGTGTAACACATGAGCCAGGTGAGACTGGAAGTTATACTGATTGCTCCATTAATTAAAGTGAATCTTTATCTCTCCATTCAGCGGCTTCCCAATGGACCTTCCTCCATCTTGGATGACGGAGAAATCGACAGGCAGAGGGAGGGCGAGATCGAGCGACAGAGGTCAGAGCTGGGGCAGCTGAAGGAGAGACTGGCCCTCATGTGCCGACAGGTACCTGATTCAGAGACACTCCTACGGTCTAATGCTTTCACCAAAAAAACAAACAAAATATGGCAAGCAGACCTAAAAGGGCGTGTGCTCGCTCAGCCTCATATCTTCATATCTCTCCACCTCCCGTCAGGTCGGGGAGATCGAGGAGCAGCTGACGTCGGCTAGGAGGGAGCTGGCCCGATCGGAGGAGACCAACCAGAAACTACAGAGGGATGTGAAGGAGGTGAGCGTCGCCGAGACACTACGCGTGTCTGTCACACAGGCAAAGAGAGTCTATTTTGCTCATAGTCACAGAAATATGTAACAGTTTGCTATGGTAACGAAGCCATTTGCCTACTTGGCAGTGGCTGCTGCTACTGTACGCACAAGAGCCTCTACGCTGTAGCCATGGTGACGGTGCCATTGGTGGAGCTGCAGGCGTTTTCACATGGATGTGGCGCTGTTAATCAGTCAGTGCTCTGGTAGCTGACTGAAAGGCGTGTGAAGCATTTTGGGACGAGAGTCAGTCAAGCCAGTATTTCTCCCTTTGTGTCTTCTCCACTCCTAACTGCTTCAACTCACTCGCTGCTCTTGTATCCCCCCACCCCCAACCCCACCCCCACCCCCACTCCCTGTCTCTCTTGAACTTGTGCAACTGCAGTTGGCGCGTCTGAAAACTGTCAACAACAACTACTAACCAGTCATTATCATTCTTCAGCTAATATCTTGTCAGTCCCAGTAAATTCCCTTTGATCAAGACCTACTTGTAAACTTGACATTTGCCCTCTCCCACTTTCTCTGTCTGGGCTTCTTTCCTTTTTATTCCTGTGTCAAAATCTTAACATACAGTCTTTTTTCTTTTAAATCTGCCAGGCACTTTGTCAAAGGGAAGACATGGAGGAGAGAATCACCACATTAGAACGCAGGTTTGTTTTTGTTTTTTTTCTTCCTGTGTCCATGAACTCTCAGAGATTTGTCTTCCTTCAAACTATGCTCCGCTCACTGCTCTGTCCGTCCGTCCGTCCGTCTGCCGTTTTTGTTCTGGTTTGCAGGTACCTGAGCGCCCAGAGGGAGGCAACGTCTCTCCACGACATAAAAGATAAACTGGAGAACGAGTTGGCCAGCAAAGAGTCCCTCCACAGACAGGTGAGACGTCTCTTTCATCCCCTTGTGTGTCCGTGTTTCTGCAGTTGATTGGCACCTTGGCCATGTTTCACGTTGGCACACAGAGCGGTATCATCAGTCACCGGTTTAATCATGTCTGCTGCCCTCGGCAATCTTCACTCGCGCTCGGGAGTTTTACCTCCACTCCCTTTTCATCCTGTCTTCCTGCAGAGTGAGGAGAAGAACCGGCAGCTTCAGGAGCGTCTAGACGATGCCAAACAGAAGCTGCAGCAAACTCTGCAGAGGGCCGAGACGCTGCCTGAGATCGAGGCCCAGCTCGCCCAGAGAGTGGCAGCACTCAACAAGGTGTGTGTGTGTGTGTGTTTACCTGCAGCCATAACCACCACTGTTTATGTTTTGCGATTTTTCTTTTTAAGTCATCTGAGAGGTTTTGGAAAAGTGTCACACCTGTTCATCCCTGTCTAGAAATAATAAAAAAAAAAAAAAGGACTTTGTTTTCATTGTTTTCACAAAACAGCCACAGTATGTGCTAATGTTTGCTTGTGGGAATACGCTCTCATTCAGGTGTGCGTGCGTCCGGGTCTGTGTGTGTTTATACATGAATGAAACAAAACACAAGATGTCAAATGACAGATGAATGCCAAATATTTTCGTCGAGCAGTGCCAGTAATTCATAAGGAAAACATCTAAGATGAAACCCAGCTCAGGCCACAGACTCAGCGCAGCTATTCGATCCTTGGGCGATCTACACGTTAAGAACTGCACGCCGCTCGCATTCTTTATGACTGATTTAATTGCTCGTGCATTCCTGTAAACTCAGATTAAAGCCCCGCGAGACGCAGGCACCCAAACTTTGCTGTAAACTGTGATCTACACAGGCATGTAACTAATTGGTAGACTCAGTCAACAAGCTGCTTCCTTTGTGTTAATTTGTATTAGTGTCACAACATGGTTTCATGCTGTAACCCCTGCTCCCCTCCTCTCCCCTCCTCTCCGATCATTCAGGCGGAGGAGCGTCATGGTAACTTCGAGGAGCGACTGCGACAGATGGAGGCGCAACTGGAGGAGAAGAACCAGGAGCTACAGAGAGTGAGTCATGCTTGCCTTTCCATCTCTCTTTCTCCTTCACTGTTTTCATCCTCCCCCTCGTTCCTCTTTGTCAGGCTTTACGCAGCACAAAGGCGCACTAATTTTCTAAACCCTCTATTTGACCGTGCACATGCCAGATAGAAATCTTTGTCTCTCGCTCTCAGTCAAGCAGAATACTTGTTATTAACTCTCCTCCCACTCTTCATCCTCTCCTTCCTCGCACTCACTTTTCTCTTTCTTTTTCTCTCTCTCTCTCTCTCTGTCTCTCTGTTACGGTCTCACCCGTGTCGCTCTCTCCCCCTCAGGCGAGGCAGAGGGAGAGGATGAACGATGAACACAACAAGCGCCTCTCCGACACGGTGGACAAGCTCCTGTCTGAGTCCAACGAGAGGCTGCAGCTCCATCTGAAGGAGAGGATGGCCGCCCTGGAAGAAAAGGTGACGGGCTCAAAGTCTGCATTTGATTCAGCACCTGGTTGAACTGCAACAGAGCGAGGTCACTTCCTGCCCTCCAGGAAGTCACCCGTTAAGACTTGAGTGCATTCCAAGCAATCTTACAACTTCCAAGCAGCAGTGAACGCTACATCCAGAAACATATGCATTCATCAACATCAGATCCTTTCCTCTCTCTCTCGTCTCTGCTATATTTTATATTGGGCCTCTTCTTTTTTTCTTTTTTTTAGTTTTTATTTAAATTATTTCTAAAAAGTGGGTAAATCATCAATAATACAAAAAAACATCTGATTTTAAAAAACACAATTTAGAGCACAAACACAATGACTGTGGAGATTCATCCAGGTCATAGTTATCAAGAAGGGCTGAATCGAGGGCGACTGGACGTTTCACCTCTTTCACATCCAAGAGGCTTTTTCACTGAAGAACTGATTCAACCCCTCTTGGATACTTGACAGTTCAAGGTTTTTTCTACCTTACTTTCTCTGGGATACAGTCAGCACCTTATTTGTCCTATATCACTATTTTATTTATCACTTTGCACTCTCTATTACAGGAAGCATTTTCCGAGAAGTCAGCATCATAAAAGAAGCGTATTTACTGTGAACTGCTGTGATTAAGATCCTTTCGCAGCAGGAAAAATAACTTGAAAGCGTAGACACATAAAATCTGGGTGAAAATGGGTTTAAAGCAACGAGCTCCTTTTTGAAAAAGTGGTTAAAAACTAAAAATGATGAGCCTTAGTTATCCTTTTGTTTACAGTGCAACACAGGGAAGTTTTTTTTTCTCCCACTTTTAAAAGATATTCCTTTGCGCTATCTCTACGTCTGCTAGCTCACTAGGTTTATATAAAACAGGGAACACTTAAACTGATCCTGCTGGATTTTTAACGCAACTTTTACAGATATTTATTGGGTGTTTTTGAATTATTTGAATCGAATAGTGTAAAGTATCACACACTGGTTCAGATTAGTCATCTGAACCACCTCATGGTCATGTTCTGTGCGTAGTTTACTCATGTCCTCTTACAACTGACGCCTCACAAGAGATGAGTTTGCAAACCTTCCTGTCACAACCTCTTTTGGAGAAAAGTGTTTTTATTTTTATGTTCTTCCCCCCCTGCAGAATGCTCTGTCTGAGGAACTGTCTAACATGAAGAAACTCCAGGATGATCTCTTAGCAAACAAGGTGACTGCCTCTTCATTCGTAGCTGAAGCAGGTCAGGTGTGTCACTTTTTCTCACCGACTCTGTCTCGTTTTCTACTCCCAGGACCAACTGATAGCGGAGCTGGAGAGGCTTCAGCTGGAGTTAGATCAGCTGAGAGCGAGACCCGGGGGCTCTTATTCCAGGTAGGAGCCATTCAATCATCAGCGCCACAGAAAAAGAGCGAAACCCCAAACCGTTATTCTGAGTCTCGGGGCGCGGCTTTGCCCGACTGTAAAGATGCCAGTGATGTGTCTGCTATCTTGTCAGACACTGTAGATGAATCACTCCGTGCTGGAGGTGTACAACACTGTCAGTACTCACAGGGCTAAAACTGTGTTGACATGGGAACACATTCAGTTGGTTGCTGGTTGCACAAACACACACGCATGATCATGCATCATCACACCTGACTATGTCCATCTGCAAACCTGATCTGGGAACATAATTCACTTTAACATTTCTAGTTTTCTTCATATATCATGTTCCTTTTATTGTTTTATAGTGGATGTAGTATATTCCGTTTTTTTTAAAGTGATTTCTTACTTCATTCTTCTCTCATATATTCTTCACGTCTACTCTACATATATCACTTTTGGAATTGGCACATGTGTAATGTTTTCATCCCTCACCTTGTTCGCTGTATGTTTTTCTTTGTTCTACCATCTTACTGTCAAAATCTTCTTCCCCTTGCAGGGATACTTACCGTTTTATCTTATCTCATGTCATCTTATCTTCCCTTCTATCTCCCCAGTCGCTCTCTGCCAGGTAGCGCTCTGGAGTTGAGGTATTCTCACGGGGGCGGGGGCGGGTCCCTCCCAGCAGGTTCCACCACTCACCTGGATCCCTTTGGTAACGCCTCCACTGGGGGCGTGGTCAGGCGAAGTCACCGGGCCCGTTGGAGCTCTGCACGAGAGGACGCGACCAAAGTGAGAATCGATCCCATTCTACCCACACCTGACTCAACATGTGACGTTACTATTGACGGCACTTGATGCCTCTTAAAAGCAGCAGTTCATCAATACTTGTTACATTTCTGTTACATACTAAATATCTGCAGTCTTCTGTCTTAACATCAGATCTGTTCCATCAGGCTTTAACTCAGTAGAATCAGTTTTATTGTTTGTTTTCACCTGAAAATAAATCTGCCTTTCTTACATTTCTTAATAAAGTGAGAGGAAGTAAAAGAGGCCAAAGAATGAGGAAAAAATCTAAATGAGGTTGGTAACAAGTTTAGTCAAGTTTGGACCAATTCACTCCACCTGTTACTTTCAGGTTGATGACATCATATTTATCCTGATCTCCTAGGGCTGTCTTATTAAAGAAAAACATAAAAAAACGTATTTATTCACTGAAACCTACTTTCACCACTGATCGTCAAGATTTGGAATAGCAGCTCTGTGAGGCTGGCAATATTTGCTAATTAGCACTAAATACAAAGTACACCTGAGGGTGATGGGAAATATCGATTAGTTTTGAAGGTATTTGGTCATAAACTAAAGCAGTGGACGATTGTTGATATTCTGACCTGATGATGGCGCTATAGGAAAAGTCAGAGGATCACCAAAGTCATTACAGTTCATCCTGAGGGGGGAGTGAATGTCTGTACCAAATTTCATACTATTCCATCCAGTAGTTGTTGATGTTCATTGTGAAGATCATGGCGATCAGTGAGACTCTTCCTCTGGGGACCATGAATTCTGAATCCATCCAGTCCTTCCAGATCTCTGAGTCTGGACCGAAACGGTGGAGCCACTGACGAACCAGACATTGCCATCCTCAAAGCCTTGCTGCTAGCATGGCTAAAGAATGTGTTTAATGTTGAAACGAAGGTGAATGATTTACGAAGTATTCGTGAATGGGATCAGTTGCTCAATGGGTATTAAGTCTTCTATTCTTGCTCTCTGTGTGTAGTACCCAGACTGGGAGAGCGGGGGCCTGCTGGGGACCGGGTTCGAGCCCGGCGTGGATGTTGGCTGCTCCGATGATGAGGACGATGGGGATCCTCGGTTTGGCTCCGAGCTGCTGTCCCCCAGCGGACAGACGGACGTGCAGACGCTGGCCATCATGCTGCAGGAACAGCTGGAGGCCATCAATAAGGAGATCAAGTAAGGGAGGGCAGCAGTGCTCAACAGCTGGGAGGGAGGGAGGGAGGGAAACACCTCTCTACATACTGCAGTCTGACACAACACCACCACATGCTACAGCCTCAACAATAAATACATCAACACCTCTCTGACACTGTTAGAGCAACAGCTGCAGTGGTGGATGTCCTCAGATCAGCAGGTCGACCTCTTCCTTTAAGTCTGTCCTGATCTGCTCAGAGCTAGCGTTTCGGCTTAATCATATCATCCAAATGTTTCACTCCTCTCCCTCCTCTTTTCTCTCACTCCAGACTGATCCAGGAGGAGAAGGAGAACACGGAGTTGCGGGCCGAGGAGATCGAGAGCCGGGTCAGCGTGGCTTTGGACAGTCCGCCCATCCCTCCGACCTCCCTGGGGAGAGACAGCACAGGACGGGGTTTCATCCCCTCGTCCATCACATCCTCCACCCTGGCCTCCCCCTCTCCCCCCAGCTCTGGACACTCCACCCCTCGCCTGCCTCACTCCCCAGCCCGCGAGACTGATAGACAGGTATCGCTGGAATGTAGAGATGAACTTCGATACTGGTCTGTGTCTCTTTTTTGTTCTTTTTTTTTTGTTCTGTCCAGCTCCTCTAGACAGTGAGTCATGTAAATAAAGTATAAGTAAATCATGCAGACGGGGTCAGAGAAGTTCAGTTATTCTTCAGCAGCACGTTAGACTGGCCAAGACTGATTGAAGTAACTTGTAGGGTGGTATGATAGTTGGTGCCAGACACTGTGGTTCCAGTATTTCAACAGTGGGCGGCTGAATTACAAAAGATGTTGCAATAAAGAAAAAACATGCTGCCAGTTGTGATTATGAAAGTGATAATGTTGATGTTCAAAGAAGTGTTCAAGCTATGAAGCTCAGAAAACTCTGCCTGACAGACAACAGACCTGACTCACCCCAGTCCTGTTGAAATCAGAGCGGTGAGGGTAAAGTTGGGGTCCGGTCACTAAAAGTTAGACAGCAGAGAAGCTGGTAGGAGGTCATCTGCTCTGTCAAGTCGCACTCTCTATTCACAGGGTACAAATAAGGAGTAAAAAGCATAAATTAAAAGATCAAGGAGTATTATCAGGAGTAATAACAGTTTCTTGGCTTACACTGGAGCCTGTAGTACCTAAATATAATATGAGGCTTTAGCCAGTAGTCGGCAAGACTGCAGCACCACTCTTATTTTCTGTGGCAATGGATTCATTGTTTCGTTTAGGAAATGTCAGAAAATCTTTATTCCCTAAAGCCTATTTAAATGTCTGACCACCAGTCAAAAATCCAAAAAGTTTACTATCATAGAAAATATCCATATTTGGACCTGTGAATTTTTGCATTTAATTAGCTGTCAAAATTGTTTCCAATTCATTTTCTGTCAGTCGACTAAGTGATTAATCAACTAATCATTTCAGTGATCGCCGGTTGGTATCTGGGTGACTTTGGAAATCAAAATGTCATGTATAGTTGGGGTCAATAGGGGCCCGGCAACAATTTTTTGCCCTGGGACCACCTAGGAGATTAAACACGGCCATGATTGTCAGGTAGCTTAGCTTAGCACAAAGCATTACCTTCCCAAAGTCTTCACTGATTTCCTGGTAGCTGCAGTCCAGGTCATGACTCAGGTGTCCTGGAGGAGCGTTACCATCCAAGCTGCATAACATGAGAAATACTTATTCCTTTTTTACACATCCTGTTCCAGAACAACAAAGATGATGATCGGTCCCTCGCTCTTCTTGACTCTACGCCTCCTCCCACGCCTCGTGCGCTTCGATTGGACAGGATGACCCTCACCCACCCAGGCGCGATGCTCGACGACCCCCGGGAGTTTCGCAGGTAAGGAAGCCACACACTAGATATGTCGGCATTATTTTCTGATAAGACACAAATTATAATTAATGTAACAAATGAATGGCTTTATCAATGGTTATAACATTACTTACTAATGCTTAATAGATCAGTTAATAAGAATAGCTTTTGGGGCTGCAGGACATCTGGACCAAAATCCATTAATAAATTGCTTATTAGTATTTATAAGTGCAGACTTTACAGATTATTGTAGAACCTTTTATTAATGATTATTAACAGCCATGTTAGTGCTAAGACATCTGATTTAAACTGGGCACAAAAACAGCTCTTACCATCCACATTTCACATGTACTGTATTCCTCTCTTTACATTTGTACTATTTATATCTCTATGTATAAGTTAATAAATGGTTATGCCTTAATAAATGTGGAGGGTTTTTTAAGGGTCGACAGGCTGTTTATAAATGGATTTTGGTCCAGGTGTTCTGCTGCATTTTTTCCAGAAGGCCGTTGGAGAGGTCTCCCCACTGAATTAAAGAGCTAGTAGGAATTTTTCCACAACCTGGCAACCCAAAAGTTGTTCTTGTTATTGGCATATAGCTAACTTATGCATTAACCCTTAATAAATCCATAAAAAAAAATGTAAAACTTATAAAACCGTTATAAATGGTGCCTAATCAGAAAGTGGTACATACATAATCAATGGTGTGCTTTTAGTGTGTAATTAGCTTTTTCCCCTTAGTGATTCCCTTTGTCTCCTCCAGTCTCTCGGCAGATGGCAGCAGCTCCAACAGCAGCCAAGATTCCCTCCACAAGTCGAGTAAGAAGAAAAGCATAAAGTCTTCCATCGGTCGGCTTTTTGGAAAGAAGGAGAAAGGGAGGATGGGCCAGCCCGGGCGGGATGGATCTGCGTCTCTTGGTAAACAGATGGAGGATAAGGGGGAGATAACACTGACTGTATATGAGTCTGTCAGTATTTTCATTTAAACATTTTTGAAGTGGTGTGCCTCAGTGACTCGAGGTATTCATATCTGTCTTATCTTTTATTGTTGTGACCTTTGACCTTTCTTTGACCAGCATCTACGCCCTCTGAGGACCTGGCCTCTGGGGACCCTATGGGGATGAACAAAACTGGGACCCTGGGTCCAGCAGATAAAGACCGCCGCAGCAAGAAGAAGTCAGTGTCAGGACAAGATGTCCCCTGATTTTATGTTAACTTAATTCTCATGTCCTTTCACCATAAAAGCACCAAATAATGCTTCCCGTTCCTAACAGGCACGAGCTACTGGAAGAAGCATGTCGCCAAGGACTTCCCTTTGCATCTTGGGACGGACCCACTGTCGTGTCTTGGTTGGAGGTACTGTACAGTCACAGAAACCTAATGAGAAGGGAGATGGTAATTTAAGACCAAAAGCTGGGTCCTTGTAACATTTCTTTCCTCATTAATTTAATCTCTTGTCTGCCTCCCACCAGCTGTGGGTGGGAATGCCAGCCTGGTACGTGGCGGCCTGTCGCGCAAACGTGAAGAGCGGCGCGATCATGGCCAACCTGTCGGACACAGAGATCCAGAGGGAGATCGGCATCAGTAACCCGCTGCACCGCCTCAAACTGAGGCTGGCCATCCAGGAGATGGTGTCCCTCACCAGCCCGTCCGCCCCGGCCAGCACCCGCTCTGTGAGACCCTGTGGCTGCACATTTAACACACTTAAAAGGAATAAAAATATGTTCTCATGCCATTAAAAAAAAAATCTCAGTCTAGTCAGCGTCTCTATATGATTAAAGGTAAAGAAGTTCTAAGACTTTTAACACCCTCATATGCTGATTTATGCATTCATCATCTCCATGCTGAGCATAGACCTTTTGCTGAGAATACACAAATGCTGCATTCAGATTGGCTGTGAGAGGCACCAGATGTTTGTAGTTATGAGATAGGTTGAGAGGTTAGTGATCTCTGCTGGGAAACTTGGAGCAGAAACTAGCAATAGGACACAAAAATAAAAACAAAACGTAATTAAAACTTAATGAGATCAAACAAGGATGATGTCCAATAAAAAGCAGTTCAAGTGAAGTGGAATAAAGGAGGGAAAATGATGCGATTTGTATGATGCAGCAGGAGTGTCAGTTACTGAGAGAGGGGAGGAAGAAAAGACAGATGCAGGAAAATGTAGAAAGCAAAAGAACGTGAAAGGTATCCTGCGTGTGATAAATGTCAAAAATAATAAAAATACTAATGCGTTTCCCATAGGAGAATGGTAGTAAACTGCACAAACACAGAGTAAATTCCACCTATTTGCCTGAATATGAAACTACATTTTCCCAAACTTCACACAGCGACAAAGATAAACCAGATGTTCAGAAATGTAGTAAAAGTGAGGCACGCAACTTTTTTTTTTTTTATGTGTCTCTTTCCAAGAAAGAATAACTAAAACCCAACTTCCTGTGACTGTCGGTTTTCGAGTTTTGGAGCAAACGCCTGGTTTTGATTCGGCTTGGCTTTTTTCAGTTCCTTACTTTGGCGTCCTATTTATTTACAGCAGGAGTCGTATTCATGAGATGAGACGCTGAAATACTGCTTGACAGATTTAACAGATTTATTTTATCAGTTCACACAAACCCGTCGAACCTCTTGTTCATCGAAATCACCATGGCGATGAGAACGCAGTCTGCTGTTTTGGTTGACTAACATCTTGTGACGTGGCTTTTCTTTTTTTTTTTGGCAGCGCTTAAATGTACAGGCATTCACTCAGTGCCTCAGGCAGATCAGACAATATGTGGCGCTCTTTATCTCATAGTTTCACTCTTCTCTTGTTCACATGACCGCAGTCGACCAGTAACGTGTGGATGACCCACGCAGAGATGGAGTCTCTGAACGCTGCCACCAAGCCTCCGGTCAGTGCCCCCGCTGTCCTGCCTCTGTCTGACAAAACCTCTTCTATGTTTTCATGATTATTTTACTTGGGTTTGAATTTATTTTAAGCTTCTCCTCTGGTCTGAATCATGTTGACGAGTCTCTCCCCTCCCTCCTCCTCTCACTCTCTCTCTACATTTCTCTTTTTCTATCTCTCTCTCTCTCTCTCTCTCTCTCTCTCTCTCTCTGTCTCTTTAAATATCTATCTTTCTGTGGGCCCAGGCCATAGTGTTGAGCATCTTCTTCTCTCCCTCTGGTTGCTGTTTCAGTGTGAACTGCTTCCAACTAATTACCCGTTCACTAACACACTATTCCTCCCTTTTGTCCTCTTTTCCTGCTGCTGCTGCTGCTGCTGCTGCTGCTCCCTCTTCCTCTGCTTCTCCTCCATCCGTCCACCCTGCTCTTGACCCCCGCTCCCTTTTCCTTCGCCACCTCCACATCACTCTCTCTGGCTCTGTCTCTCTCTGTCTGCCTCTCCTCCTCTCCTCTCGGCACTCCAGGAGCTGAAAGAGTTCAGCTGGGATCAGGTAAGGATCAGCTGCAACTTTTTTTATTTCTGAAAGGTCAGAATTGACACAACATGCTGCGTATTTTTTTGTCCGTAATTTTATCTCTAGTGAGACTAACCTCAGTGAGTCATGAGCCGCCGACTTGCACCACCATCAGATATCAAGCCGAGCGTGATTCAGCGTTGATCATCTGTGGTTGTCCCCTCCAGATATTGGCCTATGGCGATATGAATCATGAGTGGGTGGGCAACGACTGGCTGCCCAGCCTGGGCCTGCCACAGTATCGCAGCTATTTCATGGAGTCCCTGGTGGATGCCCGCATGTTGGACCACCTGACCAAGAAGGAGCTGAGAGGACAGCTCAAAATGGTGGACAGCTTCCACAGGTAGAGCTCGGCTTGTGCATGCCCGATCTCGCTCACAGCCGTGACTCATATAACTCGTGCTCTTTTGTCGCTTCTCGTTTTTTTCTTCTCTGCTGACTCTGTTGTTGTGACACTCTGAATGTTCAGGTGTGTGTCTCCAGGCTCTCTGTAAGTTCTCTTTTTAAAAGAGTTAAGGGTGTCAGAGGCCTCGGATTGTGTTAATGCCCTTTGAGCACAGGTGAGAGTGGAAACACGCCCTCAGTTAACCCTCGCCCCTCTGGCTCTTTCACCTCTCCCAGGGTCAGTTTGCATTATGGCATCATGTGCCTGAAGCGTCTCAATTACGATCGCAAAGAGCTGGAGAGGAGGAGAGAGGAGAGCGCCCACCAGAACAAAGGTGAGCTCATTTATTTCCCTCTGTCATTATCTCATCATTCATGCCCCAGATGTGGGATGGTATTGAACGTGTCTCTGACCCTATCCACCCAACTGATTCTTCTATTCATGCTCTGCTATTGTCTTGTTCAAAGCATACCTTGGTCCTTACTATATAATCCCTTGCATCTATATCCAGGTTAATTATCTACATGATTATTACTATTAGTAACCCATCATTTGTCTAACACATTATTCTGTCAACTCATTCATGTGTTAGTTATTGTTCAGTTATTTTTATTGATTTGTGAGAAATGTCATTTATTGTGCCATGCACATACAAGTATTTGTTTGTCAGACAAGTGTCGATTTTTTAGCAAAAACTTAAGTTAAAAAATGAATTATTCATTTTTTAACAGGTTTTCAGCCTCTTATCTGAGTCCAGGCTTAGACGGATAATGAGACAATGGGCCCCTGGACACAGACGAGTAAAAGGTCCCCATAACCCTTCCTACATAGGACATCCAGACTGAGATCAGTCTTTTAACTGAGCTCTGTGAATTTGAAACAAGAAATGTTAATAGTCGCTTCACACAGAGGCTCTGACCCAGAGGCCCCAGACACCTGAGGGGCGCCTGGACCTGGGCTACATAGGCACGAAAATAATTTGCCCAAAATAAGAAGGTTACTGTTCTCTAGCCCTTTTGATCAGAGTCGTAACCCTGGTTTCCTTTGAAAGGTAACTCTGTACATTTTACAACCAAAATATCAAAATGAGGATAAGATGTATTGAACTAAAGTAATAGATGCACAAACATGGGAGAAATGCAAGTTTCTTTTTTGTTTTTTGTTTTTGCCTCGCCTATTGTTTTGGCATAAAAAAAGAGATTATAAGGCCTGTAGTAGGACTTATTTTGTTTGAAAGATTTTGGAGACACAAGTCTGACCCAATTCTACCCCAACAGCTGTTGCAGTGTTATGTGGATCCTAAAACGCTTTGCACAGATAAAATCAGGAGACATGGAGCTTTCAAATAGTGTGTAAATTGTCAAGGTTGTGTGAAGACTTTCGGTACAGTTCGGTACAGACCAAAAGGCACCTAAAGTAGCACTGCCAAGGCCAAAGCGTCCCACAGGTGGGACAGTGTTTTTTAAAAGGTTTTATCTTGATAGTTTTCCATCATTCTTTGACCAGTTTGACTGTGGAAAAGCTGGTGAAGTCTTAAAAGTCCCATATTTTACACTTTTCCGGTGTTTATTTTATTTGAAATGTTGATCCATAAGAAGATATATTTGTTTTTTAAGAACCAAAAACCATCTCAGTGTAGTTTTACATCTCCTCTCTCAGGCTTCTCTCTGGAGCTCTAGTAACAACAGGTGGTGAGACGGTTTACTGAGTGATCGAATAAAAATATAGCAGATTTCAATTAAATGCTCCAAATCCTGCAAGGTTTGACGATGGCTCCATGTGGGCGGGGCTTGTGCCATGGCTGAGAGCAGTGGCTGCTTATTTGTGAAATCTCAAAGTTACAGAAGTCCTGATGGCTCGTTTTAAGGCTCAGTTTCTGAATATAGGCTGTGTGCATTTCTCTGTGGACTGAGCGCTTTCATAGTTTCATGATATTAATATAGAACCTGCTTTATAATCAAAAAGACATGGACATCTCATTTTGTACATACAGGATCTTTAAAAAGCCTGAAATGTAATTTTGCAAGCACTGCAGAAACCTTGTAGTAACACGCCTCCTTGCTTCAATCCAAATTGTTGATTTTATTATTATGTTATCAGTAACGCCAGGAGCACTAGTAGCATTTGCATTACTACTTTAGCTCTCAAGATCTAAAAATACACTGACATTAAAAGAAAAAAGAAAGTTCTTCTTCCCTTTGATTCACCTCAGTAAACCATAAAAATCATTTACCTTCTTTCATCAGCTTCAGGCTATAAAATAGGTTTGTCTTACTCAAACAAAGAATTTTTAAAATCCCATAAACTTAATGATGGCAAACAAAACAGACATTTGCTTTGATTTCTCCTGTCTCCCACAATGTTGGGAGATGTGTGGACCACCCTTTGGATACTCCCCCCCCTTTTTTTTTACTTAAAAGAGATTATAAACCACAACTTTCTAGTGTAATTTGGCTGGTAATGATTACATAAATGTCAACACGCTCAATCATTAAACAAACTCAAATCTTTTGCTCTTTCACCGCTGCGCCTCAGGATACATATGTTGTACATTTACAGTCAGTTCATCTTGGCTCATTTCCACACAGAATAATTTCCCAAGGGAGGAAATTTGTAGGTTCTTGGATTTGTCTGATGATCAGCTTGACCTGTGCAGTCCAAGTCTAGAAAATAAATCAGTAAAGCGGGAACAATTCACAAATATCAGGTAATATAACCCTTGCTGAAGACCATTAATAAGCCCCGAACAGAGCAGCATGTCTCATCTAGCCTGAACTTCAGGAAGTGACCAGAGAAACAATAAGAAACCTGATCCGTCTTATAAAAACAGCGAGCAGACGGCGTACTGTTTGCAGATGGATGCCTCCTCTCACTCCCCTCACCCTCTCCTCCTTTTCCTCCCAGATGTGATGGTGTGGTCCAACGAGCGAGTGATGTGCTGGGTGCAGACTATCGGTCTGAAGGAGTACGCCGACAACCTCCGTGAGAGCGGCGTCCACGGGGCTCTGCTGGCTTTAGACGACACCTTTGACTACACTGACCTGGCCTTGCTGCTGCAGATCCCCAATCAGAACACACAGGTAAACGCGCAGGTGGTCGAAAGGTCGCAGGTGACGATGCTTTTCATCAGCGCTCTGATTCTATGTAATGAGGAACAGTTACTGCTAAACACGGGATAGCGGTTAGTTTTTAAGGACAATATTTTAGGCTTGAAGATTTCTTCCAGACATGTATTTTATCATTATTAGTTTGCCCTTTTTAAATTTGAACGAGGTGATGTAATGGTTAGCACTGTCGCCTCACAGGAAGAAGGTTCCGGGATTGAATCCGGGGCCTTTCTGTGTGGAGTTTGCATGTTCTCTCTGTGCCTGTGTGGGTTTTCCCCAGGTACTACGACTTCCCCCCACAATCCAAAGATATGGATGCAGCTTAGATTAATTGTCATACACCCTCCTCTTTAGTGTAGAGGGTGGGGTGGTAGAGGGTGAGGTGTATGACATGGAACAAACGTACCCAGCTGGAATCAAACCATCGTTTGTGCCCAAACCGCAGACTATTGGGGCACCTACTCTACCACTACTACAGCATACACATGTTCTCTTGCTCCTTTGAGAAACCAAAAGGGAGTCATTTTTGTTTTTTTATTTTTTTGGTTTCATGATCACTCAGATAGACGTCTACATAGATGGAGACCTTATTTGAGTACAGCCAATCAAATCTCGCATAAAGCAGTGACGTCAGCGTCGTATCTTAGGCAGCGCAGACGGTCACACTGAACCAGTCAAAGTCTGTTTCTCCGTCTAAATGTGTTTTTCGCCTGACCTCAACCTGAACCAGTTATCTCTACTAACTGTAACCTTCACTCTCATCCCAACCATGGAGAAGGGTGCTACAGACAAAACTGGAGGGACACAGGAGCAGACTGTGACAGAAGCCTGCCAGCTGCTGTCAATCAAACAGACAAAAATGAGCATTTCTGACATTTTCTTCCTTGAAGTAGTACAAACCTAACAACATTTAAAACACATTGACGCATTTTAGACTGCAAAAAGGGATGACTAAATGTTACTTCAGTTAGACTTTAATACACACAAAAAACACTGGTCTGAAATTTTCCACAAAAAAGTTCAATACCTCATTAAAAATTCTTAAAAGCACATTCTCTTTCTCCCTTGTTGAAAAATCCACAATCTATGAATATGCAAATAGGTTTAGCTTCAAAGGTTTAACTGCTGTGCGCAGGATGTCTCCTACTTCTACTACCAAAGTCCATTCTCAGTGTACTTAGAGTTTCCACATCACACCTGTCTGAGTTTCACTCTGGACCAAACTAGTTATAATGTCACACGTTAGATTTAAGGTGAGCGCAGAGAAACTTTCTCTGTTCAGCAGATGAATGTGGAAACAGATGTCTCTGTGCATACATTGTTCTGCAGAGTGAAGCTCAAACATCCAGGTGAAGTAACAATAAGCAAGACACAGTTTGGATTGGAGTTACCAAGATCAATATACAACCCCTTAATTTAATTCTTTTCAGCATTAAAAAACTTTCTCTTTAATAGCATTTCATTTTGCTTATATTAAAGATTGGCTTTTGTCAGGCAATGGCCTTAATTATATTGACAAAAATAAGTGGTTGATATCAGCAGTTTTTGTTTTAAACCAACACTTCAGAGCCTCAAATAAGACTTCGTATGATACGTGTCCAAAATCATTAAAAGTAACAGTCTGTGCACCCCCGTGGCTCAAGGGTTAAGGTGCCAACCATGAATTGCAACATCCCGGCTGCTAGACCTTAAGGTCCAAGACCTTAAGTGCATTTCTTGCTCCATCATTTCCTGTCACCTCCCTGCTGTCTGTAATAAAGGCTTAAAATGCCTCATGTGGTCCTTTGGAGTTACAGCTGTACTGGTTTGAAGCATGCATGATGCTCACACATGAGCTAATGAATGCCTGCATCAAGGATTCATCACCTGCAGAGTCCAAACTGATCTCGACACTCTACATCACCTCTCTCCTGCAGGCCAGACAGCTCCTGGAGCAAGAGTACAACTCCCTCATCTCCATGGGAACCGAGAGACGACCCGATGAGGTGGGCATGCTAATCAGCCTGAAGAAATTTAAATGAAAAAAAAAAAGAGGCAGATTTAACTGCTTTAAGTGATGGTTTGGTCGAGCTTGCGTCTTTTCACACACTCTGTCTGTCTGACAGGATGGAACGAAGACGTTCACCCGCTCGCCCTCCTGGAGGAAGATGTTTAGGGAGAAAGATCTCCGGGGCGTGACCTCTGACTCTGCCGAGACCCTGCCTGCTAACTTCCGTGCCTCAGCCATCTCCACGCCCTCCGTTACCCTGAGAAAGGTTCAGAGTGATGGTGAGTGTGACCCGTGACCTCTGACAGCTTCGCTCTCATATTCGCGTTCGTTCAGCTCCTCTGAGCCCCTCGGGGCGCGTCACAATTTAGACGATGTGTGAAAACCTTTCACTCTGTATAGCATTACTCACAAGAAGAGCGGGACAGGAGTCGGGACAAAAGGTCTGTTGTAGCTATGTTACAGGACAGACTCTGATTAGGTGCAACCATTCTGCGGATGTGATAATAAATGAGGCATGTGTTTACATCTTGATTTCGTGGAAATGAGGCTTGAACAGAAACATTTGTCTGCAAGCCACCATACAGAGGGCGTTACATAAGCCGCCCTGCAAATGCAAAACTGGAGTCACATGCATGAAGCAGTTGGCTGTTTTCATGCTACTCTGCCATTAGTTTGGCGGTGGAATTTTCTTTTTCCTTTAGCAAAGGAACTGGCAATAACAAGGAACAGACGCTTCAAAGTGCAGAGGAAGACTATTATCCCTCATTCCACCTCTTAATAAGAATGCCTTTGGAAGGTCAGTGGTGTTTAAGAGATTGCAGTTACGTTAATGACCCCGTCTGTGTCTCCTGGTCTCCATCGCAGCCAACTCTGGTGCCCGGGGTGAATCTGCCTCAGTGAGGACGTACTCCTGTTGAGGGGCTGAGGTGAGAACTGTCTGCCACATTAATTAAACTGTTTAGCAGTGCTTCATCTGTGTGGGGGTTTTCAAAAGACAAAAGAGTTTCTCTAAGCCTCCGAGATGGCTTGCACATGTGCCGAGCACATTTCTTTGAACCTTGTCGTTTTATGCATTTGTTTGTTGTAGTGGATTGGTTTGAGCCTGGGATTTTAGCAGTTACCCTAAGGTCTTTAAATGGTGAGTTTGGTCTGAGGGGATTTAGGCAGAGTTGAATTAAGGCCACGGAAGCAGTGATGTGGGAATAATGCTGTTTCTCTCCTCAGGGCGCTGACTGGATTGGGACTAGAGGACCCTCTCGCTCATCCACGGAGAAAGAAGCAATGAATATAACCATTTAACTTAAAAATAAATAATCGGTCTGACCATTCTGCAATAACAGAAACAAAGGAATAAAGGGGAAAATGACATGAAGAATGTATGAATGTATTTTCCGACCAGACCAGGAAGGTTGAATGGGATCAGCTGTTTTCTCTCTCTGTCTCTCTCTTCCTGTCATTCTGTCTTTGCTCTCTCTCTCTCAGTGTGGCCGTGCTACGGGGTTAATAAAGGACAACGACGGTGTTGGTTGTGTTCATGCAGGTTCCCCCCTCTCTCTGTGTCTGCACACAGTCAGCAGAGTTGGCAATATCAGGGCTTATTTTCCTACCTTTTAGAGGAAATCACTTGCTGCCATTTATTCTCTTACAGTATGAAAACAACTAAAGGTGTCGCCTTACAACATCTGCTCAGCAACAGATGTTTTTTAATGAGGACTAAGAGGATGTTTAAACTGTAAAATCATTGGGGGGGGGGTGGCTAGATGGACATAAATGTGTTGCAACTCTAAACAACACCGATGTTCTCCTTTCTACTCATGAGGCGGCTGGTGTCCAGTGTCTGCCACGGTGGCTCCATTGTTGGCTGCTATGGTGCCGTCAGGGGGGTCCAAGTGTCCCCAATTGGTCGGAGTGTTGTAGTAAAACATGTCCGAATTGAGACCGCCATTTATCTCCGACCACATCAGAGGGACCCTCCTGGAGCTTTGTCTATTGGCACCTTGAAAACCGATAGGCTGAGTAATTTCTTGTGAAGGGAGCCCATTGTAGAGATCAAAGGCACAGAGTTTGGATGGGACAGGGTGGAGCGAGGCTACAGAGGCATTGTGTTCAATGATTTTATTTGTCGGTGGCAGGTAATCCATAAAGTTGGCGTTGGTGCCACTTTCTGAAAAGGCCTTCTTTACAAAGGGTTCATACGTTCTTTTAAAGTTTGCTTTGTCAATGTTAAAGGGTCACTATGAGTTCAGTTAACTCGTCACGGAGAGCACTACTCAGCCTGTGGAAACAGCTGAATAACGTGTCTGTGGTTCTGGACTCACACTCATGATGTCACATTGATGTCATCGAGGATATCTCGCCTCAGGTTTGAGACGTCAACAGAAATCCTGTATTATAACCTAGAGGCATGGTGTTAGAAATAGCTGTGCATTCAGGCGCCCCGGTGGCTCACCTGGTAGAGCACATACCACATAGGCTTAGTCCTAACCGCAGCGGCCATGGGTTTGAATCCGACCCCTGACCCTTTGCTGCATGTCATCCCCTCTCTCTCCCCATCCTTCCTGTCTCTCTCTCACTGTCTCCATCACAATAAAAGCAAAAATGCCCAAAAATAACATAAAAAGAATCTTTATCAAAGTGCAAGACTGAATCGTTAAGAGTATATCATTTATTAATGCTTTGTAGATAAGTAAACAGCTACTAAAGTTTGGATGGCAACATTGTGAGAAACACAGCTGGATGGAGTAAATTTTCAAACACTGTAAAAAAAAACAATTAACAACTAACAATTAAAATGTTCATTACATAACATTTACACGTGGAGACTTGGTGACTTAGTAGACAGCAAAGTCATGATTTTTTACTTTATAGCCACGCTAGTGACATGTTGCAGTCTGAAATACCTCAGCAGCTATTGGATGGATTTCCCTGAAATTTGGTCGATGCATTCATGGTCCCCTGAGGATGATTTGTAATAACTTTGGTGATCCCCTGACCTTTCATCCAGCACCATCATCAAGTTAAATTGTCAGATTGAACTGAATACTTTGGTTTACAATGCTAACATGTTAACGTTAGCATTGTAAGTTAGCAACAATGTCCTCAAATACAGCCTCACAAAGTCACTAGCATGGCTGTAGCATGACTCATGAGTCTCATTGATGAGCCATTAGGTCTGAGGTGAGAAAGGTTAGTAAGTTAAGGTAATCCCGCCTGGTTACAGTTTAAAATATTAATAAGTTAGTAACAAATGGATATTAGTGAAGAAGACAATGCAAGTTATGCTGGAGAACATACACCAGTAAAATGGATTTTTCACAACCTGGGAACCCAAAAGTTCTACAGTATATAAAACATTTAATAAAACATGAATAAATTGTGTATTATTTTTACAAAATCCCATTAATTAAAAACTATAAACCCTTTGTAAAGTATGTCTCACTGGAAAGCGGTACCTAAGTTTTAAATATCTTGACAAAGACATCTGTTTGAAGCCTGACTCAAACTAAAATTCCTCACTAGCACTCCACGATGTCGCTCTGTGGTTTATGACCTGTAATCATCAGCTCAGGGTCTTGGGTAATCCTGATGATGGGAGAGGCAACAGAGAGACAAAACAGCGACTCAAAGGGAGGAGGTAAAAAAAAAAAAACAACAAAAGGATGGACAGAAGCTGGTCATTTTACTGCACACACAAGCCATAACAGAAACCAAGAGCTCTCTGGGGGGGTGAGATCAGAGAGAGGCAGGAAGAGAGGGGCGAGCCCGAGGAAGCCCAGGAAACAAAACCTTTAGCCTCTGTGTTTACGATGCATGTCAAACAAACGACAATGACCTAAAAACATTTTTTTGGTGGTGAAGGTGATATGAGGTGTCGTTAAAAAAATATATATCTGTATGATAAACCTACAGGGGTGGGAGCCTGGGGATCAATTTGTAAAATGTGTGTATTTTTTTCAGTTGTATTTTTTATTTTTTACGATAACTATTTATTTTCTTTAGGTATGTATTGGATAAATGTATGTACATGTTCCGTTCCTTCTCGACTTCATTTGAACTAGTTTTAAAAGTAAATATGAAACATTGAAAATGGTCATTCAAATATGCTACTGTATGTGTACATTTTGAGAACAAATTGTGCAATGATTTAACAGATTTCCATGATTAAAGTGATAGTAATACAAACTGAAAATATCATCTGGGAAAATAAACAATAATGATGATGACGACGATGATTATGGTGATGATAATGAAAATGGTGATGTAAAAGAAAAAAAAATAAAATAAAGCGATCCAGGTGGATCTGCTGATCATCGCAAAACTTTCTCAGTATTTATTTTCCCTATTGATTCGTTTTATTCTTTCTCTCTCTGCAGGGAGTCAACAGTGTGCAGAGGTTCAGTGTTACTGAGAATTTTCAAGTACCGTCTCAATTACAATTCACAGATATTTGCATTTCTATTCTACGGGATTTTAAAATTATACACCACTACAGTTATGATATATTGACCTTTTTATTCCACTACAGTCATTTGCCAGCTACACTATAGCTACTAGCTGGTTCAGATTTTACACACAAAACATGCAGGACTTTATCTACTTGCGTACACTTATGACTTTTACTCAACTACACTTCAAAGACAAAAATTGTACTCTCCACTACATTTCTATGAAGTTATTGTTACTTTGAAGCAAAGCTTTTAGTCAGTGGAATGAAATTTCTTTTATTTTGAAAAATGTGATAGACCATATGCTGTGTTTATCACAGCAGGAAATACCAATCACAGTCAGCTCCTCCATTGTGAGTCATGTTGTGTTCGCTGCATTTTTGAACAGCTCAGTTTGAACTTGACATTGTCCTAAGAGTGGCTACGTTTGATGAAGATGAGGCAGAAATATCTTCACCAGAGCACCAGTGGCCTTATCTTAAGTCCATGTTTCAAATTTTAGAGATAAAGATTCCTTTACTTTTAAAATACACACGTCATCACTGCCTACAAATACCTGCCGTCCAACTTAAAGTGTTGAGGTATGTAATGTGCATTTAATTCCAGATAAACTTTTAAACAGACAGCTTGTAGTAGTTGCTGTTTTTATGCTATGGATGCAATTACTTATGGCCAATGGTTTGGCTTTGTAGCATATTCAACAGGTTTTTTTATTCCACAGGTTCTTCAGTAAGTCAGTACATCCAGTAGGTTGTTTCAGAGTCATTAGGTCCCATAAATGCACAGAGGAACAATACAACAATGTGTTGACATTAAAAAAAAATGTACTTTTGAATATTAAAGTATTTTTAAAAGCAAGTACTCCAGTACTTTAACCAAAGTAAAAATTTAACTGACCATCTTTGACTTGCATTGGAGTAATGTTTGACCAGGAGTATTTGACTCAAGTAATGGAGTTGTGTCCACCTCTGTTTGTAGCTGTAGTTTCATGTTTTGCTGCTCTCTGAGAGGAAACTGGTTACAGCAGTAAAATTTTAAAAATAAAGTTTTCTTTTATCAAAGAAATCCCAGAGTACTAATTAAGAGTAATTAAATTCTGCATTTAATGAGTAAAAAGATCCTTTATTACCACGTTTGGCAGGCAAACTGAACAAACCAGCAGCTGGTAAAACTACCTTCTTTAGGTGTCATATGAACCACATTTGACAAGCTCCACAGACAGAGATGTATCATCAGCCTGAATGAAATCATGCTAAAATGTGCCCATGCTGTTAATTTGCGTATCAAATACATTTTCCCCATCGATCGGACTCTAAAAGCACTGTTACAACATTCATGGTGATCCACATGAGAACAGTGTGGAGCAGTAAAATGGAGCCTCAGTAGGTGGCGCTCCTTCCTCTTACAACCCGACTGGACCAGAGGCTGGAATTATCATTAGACACTTCTTCTATAAATACACACAGATATACATAGCTTCATACATAAAGGTATACTGGTGTCATATTGTACACATACGTAAAGGAATATATTAATATCAAAGACATACACATGCTTACATACTAATCAAAAATAACTTAGATTATGAAAGATAAATCATACAAAAACAGTACTTTTCAAAGTAAAATCTCTATAAATGACAATTTTCCCTAGAGCTAGTATTGAGGTCTTCTTGTTTTTTTCAAAAGTCATTTGAAGCTGTGGTGGATGGAGGGATCGGAAAGGAGAGAAAAACTGTGGATTAGGGCAGGAATAACTTCCATCATTTTAATTGAGTGAAAGTGCACACAGAGGGATGTCACAGCTGCTCTGCTCTGTGTCACTTTCTACTTCTTGCCATCTCCCTCAATCCCCCTCCCTCCTCTCTCCCTCTCTCTCTCTCTCAGGCTCTCCCCTTCCTCGCCAAGACCTCCCTCCCCGGTGCCTGATTGGCTCTGGACAGCAACACGCAGACGCAGGACGAGTCGATGCGGATCCACCTCCATCCGGTTCTGTTGTTTTCATCTTTGGTGAGTGCTCGTACGAACGACTGCTTGGCTTTGCATTCGCTCAACCACTGTTTTTTATCCACGCCCAAGCAGCCTGCCCCGGCTACGCCCATCGCCGGGGATTTCGCCGCTGTGCCGGCACCCCTCGACCTGCTAGAATTGCTCTGCTGCTCGGCCTGGCGACAGCGAGTCTCATAGAAGTACTGTTTGAGTGGTCCTGTCTGGGTTTGGATTTCCTGCAAGATGGTGACCACATTACCACGGGAGTCGATGGCAGTCTTCTTGTCGGTGACCCAAACGCTTTCCGTCTCGCACACCGACTTTTCCCCTCTCCGCCTGTCAATCAAGTGCGAGCGTTTATCCCTTTTAACGGGACGGGCAACCTCACTGTTAGATCTAGAAGAATCTGCCCAACTCAGAGTCGTGCCCCTGTCGATCGCCCGGTCCCCATGACCCTCGATGTGTCCGTCCATGTCCTCCTGCTCCTCTCCATCCCCGTCCTCCTCCAGCAGGCCGGTCTCCAACATGAGCAGGCGAGGGGGGTGTTCTGGAGGAGACAGGGATGGTGAGAACAGGACTCGTGGATGTGCGTCCAGAAACATCTCGTCTCCTTCTAGGATGCTGTCCAGCCCGGTTCCCAGACCCAGCCCTGCCTCTAGGGTCAAGCTCTCCTCATCCAGACCTCCTTCAGCTCCGGGCGTCCCCGTCCTGATTGCTGATGTATCTCTCAGCTGCTCCGAAGGAACAGTCGGTTCTGGTCCTCTTTGACCCTTTAGATTTGCAACAGGACTGACGACATTACGGATATCCGCTGCAGAAACCTGCAACGGTCTATCTGTAGAGTCCTGAAGGATGTCGTTCTTGGAAAAGTCCACAAAACTGGAGTAATCTTGCCTGCTTCTGCTGCTGCTGTCAGCTTTGTAGTCCTTTGGTAGAGAATTATCCTCAGAAAAATCTTCGGTCCTGAGTGTTCCTGCTTCTGTGGGAACATCCAAACTGTCACTGCGTCTGTTATCGCTGCCTGAGTTGCCATTTGATTGGTAGGTTTCTTGATTG